TGTAGTGTGTGTACTGTTTTGTACGTAGACCTCTACTTGAACCTGTGAACTGCACTGGTGAAGCTGAGCTAGATACGTAGCCTTGCCGCAGCTTTTTTTTCTTTTTTTTAGGGATCCGGCCAAATACCATTATTTTTGGTATACAGCTGTACAACGCCTGCACAAGTACAAATACGTACGAAACTGGCACCATGAAGAGGTTTATGATTGTACTCTTGCTGGTACATTTAGAAAAGCGATCCTGTCAGCTTTTCTATTATTGTGTTCACATGGCAGAAAAAACGACACCGCTATGCTACGTAAGTTTCTACGTAAGGTGCTCGGTACTTCACTTAGGCTACGTAAGTTTCTACGTAAGGTGCTCGGTATTAATATATTAGATCTACCAGCGCGTGGTAGCCGCGTGCTGTGCACGTGCATGGCAGACATTGTGTTGCATGCAGTGCATGCAGTCCGTTTTCGGATGTGCATGCGCGAGGAACTTCCTTCTTTGGAACTGCTTCTTGCATGAGCTGTTTCGGATATTTCGTGTCCTGGCTTATTTCGCTTTGGCTCTGCTGGGACCTCTTTTCACGGAATATTACTCAATGACAGGTGAGTTGACCAGTTCCCTTTGATTCATTTGCTTGTGTTGACTCTTTCATTTACGAAAAGGGTGCTGATTTTAGGTGGAATACAATAAAATTAATAATGGAAAAGCTGACAGGATCTCTTTTCTATTATTAACGTTTCTGCTGTCGAGGCCTCCTTTTACGGGATACTCAATGACAGGTGATTTCTGAATTGACCAGCTTCCTTCGATTCATTTGCTTATGCTCACCCTTTCATTTACGGAAACGTGTGCTGATGTTATTCGGATTTAGATCCATTCGTATCTCTTTGCCCTTGCCAACAGTGTGCGAAGAACGCGAGTTCACCTTCTTGACGGTAAGGCTTATGTTGCTGCTGAGGCTTAGATGTGTTGTCGAAATACTCATGTTCATTGTACATTGGTACGTTACAAGTAAGGCACTGGTCATGATTGCTTCCGGCATTCCGTGCTCCGATCATAGGGTAGAATATGAATCAGTGGCATAGCATCGTTGGCAGTTCCCAATCTGGAGGGAAAGGTTCAAGGACGCATTGGCCGAGTACTAGTATGCAAATTAAATTCGCATATCAGGGAAAATCTCCATTATGGAGAGGTTCATGCATTCAGTGACTTGTTTGCTTCATACGAAACAAGCCAATGGGTGCAATCTCGTCTCGTGAAAATCTCGTACGATCGGATTTGTTTACTCGAGTCTGGGCTGTTTGATTTGTGAGTAGCGCCGAGATTGCACTGCCCCAAATATAGTTGCGTGCCGGTAGAGCAAGAATTACGATCTGCAATCTGTTTGTAGTACCTGCAAGAATGTGCTGTACATGTATCGTATATTCTCTGTTGTTGTTTCAGTTGCCTTCATGTTGCTAAAGAAAGGTTCAGTGACTCATTTCTTTCATAAAAGACGAGTCAATGGTTTGGTCTGGCTTCGAATCTTTCGCTGCAGAAGAAATCTATTCGTGTCTCTATTGGAGAAATAATTGTATTCACTAGTTATAAAATAGGGTTAAGACAAACTCACAGAGCAAATGCCATCGGTCCCTTGATGCTCGTCCTAAAGAGGTTTGACTGGATATCATTCATACTCCCCCGAAGTCGTGTAACATGTTATTATTATGGTGTGCCTTGTTTATTTCTCAGTGCCTCCAACGATATATCCTTGCCCCTTATATTCTATACTGCAATGTATTTGTTTACATTTTAATACATGTTTATTGTTCCTACTTTGCTGTGTTGTTTTAGACAATCGTGGACTTGTAACACTTTGAAGTCATTGAACTGCTTCCAAAAATTTTATCGACATCAACAGGATTACGATTTCACTACAATATGATGCCGGATGACCTTATCACGACAACCCATGACTACAATTATAAACACAGAATCAACAAAAACATCTGCGGCACGCACCTTGTTACAATTCTCAAGTAAATGTGATTTAGGGTGTGGAGACCTGAATTTTCTGAAAGACAAGACAATTTTATGACAGAGTCATGAAATTCTGCAACATCCACAGAATGACCTGCGTATAAAAAAAGTATCACCGCCACTACCCATATGATTCCCCTGCAGAAGAACATGAATACATGTATGCAAGACTAGTTCCATTTTCTGCAAGAAAAGGCTTGCACATCAATGCGTATACCGGTATATACTACGGTATTGAATTTGATATGATACACGTACATGTACATAGGGGCTCCCGTAAGAAGACCATAGGTCTGTGGGAAACACCCTAGTAAAATAAAATAATAATAATAACATGTAGAGGCGCTACATGTAGGCCATCATTTATTTGGGCATTCCATTGGTGACACAATTATATCCTTTAGCCAAAAAACTAAAGAAATTATAGCAATAAAAACTGCTTTATGGCAGTTTTCTAAAAAAGGTTATTGTGTTCTAGTCCATGGACCCCGTCTAAAAAGTAAGAAATTAACGAAATGTGATAGCCGAAAATTAAAATTTCACACAAAACCTCACAATAATCACACACAGAATGCGAGACGACCTTTTCCCCTCGTGGTCCTCTTTCATATGCATGTACTTGTACAAGTACAAGTGTCGGAATAAACAAGTGTTGAAAGTGTCGTGATTATTGTGAGGTTTTGTGTGAAATTTTAATTTTCGGCTATCACATTTCGTTAATTTCTTACTTTTTAGACGGGGTCCATGGACTAGAACACAATAACCTTTTTTAGAAAACTGCCATAAAGCAGTTTTTATTGCTATAATAATAATGGCACGAGGTGATTTGGCTTTTTTTTAACATGGTTGTAAAATGACGTTTTTTCAGCCACTTCTAGGCAAGCTACGTCCAAAAAAATTGTTGCAGGTGGAAGTGCTATCCGTCATGCCTGTTGTCTCAAAAAAATGGGAATGATCCCACTTTGGAAAGTGTCTTGAATGATGTCCTACTTTCATAGTACCGGTATTCTCAGCTCAGGGTTCAAATACAGTAATTGGTGTGTCATTTTTTAACAAATTTGTAAAATGGCATCACAAACTGGGATATTCGGTCATCAATGTTCTGAAGTTGATAGATATCACTTCAAGGAATGCCAGTGGATGAAAATTAATCTGTCAACTGCACTGTATGCTGCCGCAAGGCCGTGTTTTTGTATTTGTAACTGGTGTCTGTGGCATACGGTAGAATTGGGTAGATAGCATAGCATCGCAGCCATGTTTTCGTTCTCACAGAGTGTATTCCGTGACCTACTGTTCTTCATTGTTGTCTTTAGTGATGACAAGGATGGCCTGACGTCGTCCAAAGGCCCTGCGGAAGCAATTCGTACTGGTAGATCTACTGCAAGCATAACGAGTAGATTCATGTACGGTACATGTACGTGTACCAAGCAAGGCTTCTTCAGTCTATAGATCTACCTTTCCGGTTTGGAGCCACCTCTGATTTGAAGCGAAACATAATAATTGGGCAACTAAGGAGGCAATGGGCCAAAACAAAACAGTGGCTCAGTTCGATTGACTCTGGCCTCAGAGCAAACTTCAACATGCCAGTTTCCTTCCACAAACATATTTCGAGTGAACAATCCTGAGAAATATTCAGCCAAATATCAAAACATACGACATTATTTCGTTCGCTAATTATCGTTACCCGTCGCCTCACGTGGCTTCAGAATATGTTACGAGAGATAGGAGAGTCTCCAGCAGGCAGCGCATCCATCGTCAGAAAGTGGAAAGAGCAAACGGCATGCCTCAGCATGGTCCTTGGTTGAGGTAAATGCTGAACGTTTGATTTGTCCCAACCAAGATTTCAGCACTTGGTTCGTCACGATTTTCGCTTGCCCGCTAACGTCTCCGCACTCCAGCTTTCTCCTGTCGGTGTCACGACAGTCACGTCCCAGTACACAACGGAGAGGACTACTAATGAACAATTCACGGCACTAACAGCATTGAACACAGCACTTCTTTCACTTCGTGAATACAATAAGACAACTGAAAATACACAATTCTGTAGTGATCGACCTTCTCTCTCACGGAGCGCAGAATGTGCATCATCACCTGTAGTCGCCATGGAAACGCAATCAGAAAATCGGCGATATGGCAAGTTTGCAATATCGTACGGAGGCGAGAGATACCATCGGAACCAATATGAAATTGTCTTTCATCTGACTTCTGAGCCCTACTTGAAAAATCGATGCACTTCTTAATCCACGCTGATGATCGGTTTGGTCTATACAAATTTGGCTGTCAAGCCATTCCGGTAGCGAACCGTCTCCTCTACTGTTTTTTCCACTATGAATTTATTTATTTTTTGAAAAACGTAAAAATGTTTGGCACCTATGAAATCAGGGGATGGCCCACGCCTAGCCTGGAAAAAAAAAATGAGGAGCTACAGTGCGAAAAAGACAGTGATAAAGGACCATCAGTGAAAAGGTATAATACATGTAAGTTAGAAAAACAGAACGAGGACATGACTCAGTGACCGATTCCAACGCCAGCACCGTCATGTACGGAGAGTCCCATAAGACGGCGACGGGAGCCTCGCAGACGCATGTCCACGGCGCTGAAAATGGCGAACTGAGTGCGCACGCGTACCCAAGCCATCATGGCAGAGAAGGGCTTCTCCCATTTCGCTGCTAAGCGGCTGGCGAGACGCTTCTGGTACGCACTGTACTCGCGGTAGAGGACAGCATCAGTGGAACACACCAAGGGAGTAAAGGAGCCTCGTAGCTCTTCAGCTGCATGCTTGTACTTCCGCTTCTTCGCTGCAGCTGCTTTGTTGGCGGTGGCATTCCAGGACAGGTTGGCCTTGGCATAACTGGGTGCGTCAGCATCTACGATGCGGTTTTTGAAAAACGCCACCCGGTTGCCTTCCCATACTCCACGAACGAGCCAGTCCGCTTGGAGCATAGGCCGACCATTCCTGTCCTGTTCCGAGATGAGGATCGGCTCGATG